AGAGAGAGAGAGAGAGAGAGAGAGAGAGAGAGAGAGAGAGAGAGAGAGAGAGAGAGGAGAGAATGAGAATATGAATGAGAAGTATATGTGCAGCATCTCATAATCCCATCGAGTCCAATTCTCTAATTTTGAAAATAAGCAATCTCAGTTCTGAGGGAGTACATATTTCTCAGTCACACAGCTTTCTAGTGACAATCTTCTCTTTTCAGTTTGGACCAGGTGATTGTACAACAGATAAATACCAATACAGGGTAGATCATCCTAAGTGCTCCATTGAAATTACTGACACGTGGCAGGGATGGGGAAGTCAGGGAGGGTTTCCTGAGGTGGGGCAAGACTTGGTGGGGTAGAAAGTTTGTCACAGGTTTAAAGAATGTAGGCGAAATAGAGGGTTTTTTTTTTTTAATGAAGATGTAAGTGCTGGTGAAGGAATTTAGTCTTTAATCTGTGGGCATTTTAAGGGGAATTTTTTGAGCAGATCTATGATTTGTAAGTTTCTATGAATTTGACTCCTCTAAGTCTACTCATATAAGTAGAACAAGACAGTATTTGTTATTTATTTCATTTCATTTTTTTTTTTTTTTGGTCTGGCTTATTTCACTAGCATATGTCTTCAAGTTTTCATCCTTCTTTTTTTTTTCTTTCCAGTACTGGGAATTGAACTCAGGGGCACTCGCCCACTGAGCCACATCCCAAGCCCTATTTTATATTTTATTTAGAGACAGGGTCTCACTGAGTTGCTTAGTGCCTTGCTTTTGCTGAGGCTGGCTTTGAACTTTCAATCCTCTTGCCTCAGCCTCCTGAGTTGCTGGGATTACAGGCTTGTACCACGGTGCCCGCTGCAGGTTTTTTCCATGTTGTATGTGCATGTAGGAATTCTTTTTATCCTAAAATTGTTATTATTCATTTTTAGTTTTTTACAAATGAGGCAACTGGGACACATAGGAATTTAGTAACTTATCCCACATCCCATAGCCAACAAGTGATAGAGGCTAGAGTTAAATGCAGGTTACACCCTAAACCACCTGCTGCGTTGCCTCTTGACAGTTCATCTTCTAGTTTTGCTGTTGTACCCAGTCTGGAGGATGGGCAGTACAGCATGTTGACTGACCATTACTTTTACAGGCAAAGTTTGTGAAGGCAGAGCTTTTTGGGGGGGCCATGGTGTGGACAGTGGACATGGATGACGTCAAGGGAGCTTTCTGTGGCAGTGGCCCTTTTCCCCTTTTATACACATTGAATTACCTCCTGCTGCAAGACGGTAAGTAGTAAGGACCCAGGAACTATGATTGGAATTTGTATAACCAGGCACTGGGAGGGTCCATTCTGCTAGGTCTAAATTCTTTGATGAGGTGACATGAAACTGAAGAAAGACAAACTTTGATGTCAGCTAGTGTATTCTGTAATCTTGAACCTTATTTGACTTTCTTGAGCTTCCTTTGCCCTATCTGTAAAATGGAAATAACTCTTACACTCATCCTTATGAGAACTAAATAAGATATGGAACCAAAACTGCACTAGCTCATTGTTAGCACTCAATATATGTTAGTTTATTTCTCTGTTTCCTTCTACTTTCATGGGCAAGGGCTAGAAAAGGGAATTTGGTTTCTTTTGCTATCTCTTTTTTAAAAGTAGAGGTTTCCCTGGCGGTTAGGAAACGGAACCCAGCGTGCGAGAGCTGAAAATCCTTAGAGATGGTTTACAATCCTCCTTTTAAGGACAAGATTGGAGCTCAGGCAGGTCAGGTCTTCAGGTGGGCTCCAACCTCATTGTCTACAACATGCTATCTAGAGCTCCTTGTCCTCAGAGTTGTTCCTGGTGCCTGTACAGATGCAGGAGGTTTCTGCTTAAGGATTCAACTAGTAAGGAATAAGGCCTTGAGGGACAGGACTTGCTGGGGGTGCAGTCAGAAGTCCAATTCTGGATTTTTGGAGCAAGGTCCTTCTGAACTGGAGGGGTTCTAGTCCTTCCTGTAATTAGCAGGAAAGGAAGGGAGAGGTAGGGATCTCATGCTTTGCTGATGATTTTCTCTAGAGGTCAGCTCAACTCCTTTACCACAGTTTGGGTTCTCATCTGCTATGAATTCTTCAGTATCTGATTCTGAAAGGCTGGCTGTGACAAAAGCATTGAGCACTGATATTATTAACATTCCCACCCCCACCCCAGGAAGAAAAGCTGAGTCTCCTGAAGTCCATGGAAAGCATAAAAATATAACTTCAGTTCCTGGAGGTGGAGTCATGACCCTTGGGAGGGAAACAGTATCCTTTGGAAATCACACTGTAGCTCTACGGGGCACTGAGGTCCCTGGGGCAAGGACTATGACTTCAGTGGACCATCAGTCTGTGACCACTGCAGGGACAACAGAAGCCCTTGAGCATTTTCAGACAGAGACCCTCAGTAAGATAATGGCCCATAATATGAAGTCTGTGTTCCCTGAGAAAGTTACTGTCCCCACCAGAAAGATGTCAGTCACCTATAATGGGCAAACTGTGACTCAACAAGGGGTGAATTTGAGTTCTGTATGGGAACTGCCCCAGGGCGGGTGAAATTGGTCTGAAGAGGGAAGTTGAAAATAAGATGCCTCCCAACACACACTCCTCTTACTTCTGACAACCCCTTTATGCCCACTGAAGGGAACCATTCCTATGTCAACTAACAACCCTTCCAACAAGTGCTCTCTCTATGAAAGAAGAAAACACTCCTGTGGATCAAGGAGCCTAAGCTCTGTGGATGGCAAACTGGAGCAAGCCCTTGTCTTTTCTTCTTCTCTGTGTGATATGATAGAAGCTGCTTGATCATGGTTGCTCATGGGGTGAAGTAGGCACCAAAGCCACAGTGGGTCAATATTTTTTTCTGTTGAATAAACTAGAAACACAAGAATCCAACTGAGGTCTCTGAGATTCGTTCCTTAAAATGACCGGTGCAGCTTCCTCCTCTCAGTGTGGTTTCCCCTAGTATTATTTTTGGAAGGGGGTTGTGTCTAGTCTATAATGGTGCTTTCCAGTGTTGATTTTGGACTTCCTTCTTCCATTAGCAACTGCTCACTTCACTGTTGGTCAGAGCCAGAAGTTCCTTAGGAGATTGTGGGTTTCCCACAATCCTCAAGAAGAGTTGGGAGAGGAGGGGGAAATGGAGGCTTCCAATTATCTTTTCTGCTTGGTCAAATCTCAGTTGTCCGTGGAAAAATACCCTCATCTAATCTCTCATTGAGAAGTGATTGAGAGGGGCTGGGGATGTGGCTCAAGCGGTAGTGCGCTGGCCTGCCATGCGTGCGGCCCGGGTTCGATCCTCAGCACCACATACAAAGATGTTATGTCCGCCAATAACTAAAAAATAAATATTAAAAATTCTCTCTCTCTCTCTCCTCTCTCTTCAAAAAAAAAAGTGATTGAGAGTGCAAAACAAAAACTTTTAATCTGTTTTATAGTGTGACTAGTACATTGCTCCTAGGTCTCCTCCAGAGACACCGATTCCCACACTTTAAGCACTGCAGTTTGCCTCTGGAGCATTCTCCTGGGTGTGACCGACTCTTCAAAATTACTATAGAAACGGACCATGTTCTAGCTCTTCACTTTTAGGAGCCAGTGCCTCACAAAGAGGGTGTAATTTCTCTTACTGATGTTACATATTAGTTCATTTTCTGTTCCTGATAACAATGCCACAAACTGGGTGAGGTATCAAGAAAAGAGGTTTATTTTGCATCATAGTTCTGGACCAAGTTCAAAAGGCCACATTTGATGATGGCCTCCTTGCTGGCAGTCCCAAGGTAGCACAGGGTATCACATGGTGAGAGACAAGATGTGTGCATATATGTATGTGTATGTATCTTTTGAATTCTCTCTCTTATAAGCTACCCAGTATTCAACCATGGGGCTTGTACCTTATCAGATCCTAATCCCTCCTAAAGGACCCACTTCTAAACACCGTGGTCAGATTTAGTTTACACCCTCTTAAAACCTCATAATGGGGAATTAAATTCCAACACTAGTGTTAGAGAAGATGAACTATATTCAAATCATAGTGTTCCACCCCCTGGTCTCTAGTAACTCATGTCCATTTTATTATTTACAAGGGCCTCAAATGTAAAGATACAGAAAAGTTGAAAGTAAAATGAATGGGAAAATATACTATTACAGTATTAACAAAAATAAAATATTTGAACTACATGATATGATTAAAATAAATTTTAAGGCAAAAAAAAAACAAAAAACCCTACTAGAGATGAGAATTTCCATTCTGAGCACATATAAGGAATGATTGTTCTTGCTACAACTAGCAAAAGTCAGCTAAATTACAACAACCATATGTTAAATGTATCTGAGAGCTGTGGAAATGACCAGGACAAGGTAAACCAATAAAATCCCCGAGAGGATAGAACTTTTCTGAGGTAAGATGAACATGGGCAGTCATCTTTATTCTCTGCAAGTACTTACCAGTTCTGCACATGGGCTGGGATGTAGCTAATGAAAAAATGATAGATAAGGAAAGAGGTCAGCAAAATATTTAAAGGTCACATGAAAATAAAATGGCATGGAAAACTTAAAAGACCCCAGATACATGGCCAATTTTCAAAAGTATTTGCAAGACTTAGGAGTTCTGCAGGAGGTTGGCAAAGCTCACCAAAAGTTTTTGAAAGGCAGAGTGAATTCTTTTAATAGTCTCGTGATGTTAAGGGAACAAAAGACATGTCATGGGAAGGGATCTACTCGAAACAAGCGCTTCCTTCAGGATCTGAAGTTGCATGGGTCAGGAAGATGGAGAGTGGGTCTGGGAACTTCTCATGGGGAGAGTTGAATTCCCTTCCATCTTTTAAGACTTACAAGATTGATATTACCAGTTCTCAAACAAAATCCCGAGGGAGTCACATCAAAATTACAGGGGCAAATTAGAAATAGATGAACTTAACCTCGACCCAGGTCAATCCCTAAATAGATTGGGAAGGGGGCATGGGGGCAGGAAAGATGGTGGAATGAGATGGACATCATAACCCTAGGTACATGTATGACTGCACATATGGTGTGATGCTACATTGTGTACAACCAGAAAAATAAAAAGTTGTGCTGTAATTGTGTACTATGAATCAAAATGCATTCTGCTCTCATATAGACCTAATTAAAATAAATAAATAAATTTAAAAATAAATAAATAGGTTGGGATTAGCTGGCTGTTGTCCTATTTGTATAACAGGTTTCTAGTTAAAAGTCAAATATTCACTTATATACACTTAAAAATGACAAGACATGTGAAGAGGCAAGAGAATATTGTTAAGAATTAAGAGAAGAAACATCCAGTGGGAACAGACTATAGGTGACTGGAATCATAGCATTGCATATAAATAGACCTTAGAATACCAATGATTCTTATGTTAAAGAAAACAGAGGAAGAGATCAACAAAATAGATAGAATTGAGAATTTTACCCTAGAATTAAAATCTGTAAAAAATGAACTGAATTTCATGTGTTCAATAAAAGACAGGCACTAGAATGATGCTAGCTTATAGAAGTTTCTGCCATGGTGATGTTTCATAAACAGTACTTGAAATGTGGCTAATGAAACTTCAAGGAGATGAATTTTAAGTTTTATTTAATTTTGATTCACTAAAGTTAAAATTTCAATGGCCACAATGTTTAGAGGCTACCATATTGGACCACACACACTAGAATAGCAACACTATTATTAATACTTGAAAACCTAAGACTTCCCAAATGACAATGTATAGTATAATGAATAAACAAATTATAGTGTACTTTCATTGTGAAATATTACACAGCAAAAAGAACAAATCATTGACAACTACTATGTGGATGAATTTGAAAACATGACATTGATTCAGAGAAGACTAATGCAATAGAGTACATATATGATGCCATTTTTTTCCTTTTCTTTGGTAGCAGGGATTGAATCCAGGGGTGCTTAACCACTGAGCTACATCCCCAGCCCTTTCTATGGATTTTTTGTTTGTTTTTTTTGTTTTAAATTTTGAGACACATTGTTATCAAGTTGCTGAGGCTGGCTTTGAACTTGAGATCTTCCAGCCTCAGCCTCCTGAATAGCTGGGATTATAGGTGTGTGCCACCATGCCCACCTGCATGATACCATTTTTACAAAGTACAAAGCCAGACAAAACCAATAAGTTAGTATAGTGCTTGCTCCTGGGGCATGTCTGTAGAAAGGAGCACAAGGATACTTCTAGAATGCTAGTTACATAACAAATTCTTCTCTTTAAAAATATAGGAGTTACTTACTCCTGAGAAGCATTGCCTGTGAATTTGGGGCTGACTCCTCCAAGGCAATGTTGCTTCTTTTATAACTATTGTGTTAGTTAGGTGTTCATTGCTGTGACCAAAAAACCTGAAGAGACCAACTTAGACAATGTATGGTCGATTTATTTTGGGACCACGGTATCAGAGGTTCAGTCCATGGTCAGCCAACTCCATTGCTCTGGGCTGAAGGTGAGCAGAGCATCATGGACAAAGGGTGTGGCAGAGGAAAAACTAGCAACTGTGAAGCAGAGAAAGAGCACGTGAAGGGCCAGGGAAATATAAACTCAGTGCCCTACTTCCTGCAGCCACACCTACCTGTCTACAGTTAGTACCCCATTAGTCCATTCAAATGATTAACCCGCTGATTAGGCTACAGCTCTCATAAACTAATCATTTCATCCCTGAACATTCCTGCAGTAACACAGGAGCTTTGGGGAGGCACCTCATATCCAAATCATAACAGCTATAAATTGCACTCCTCCTTGGTGGGAGCATTTATGAATAGATAAGAGGAAGGCATGTGAGCTGATTCTAAGCTGCGGAAATGATAAGGAGGAAGAACTTGTGAGGCAGAAGGCTGTTGTGGACAGGAGAGTTGTGTGTGTGTATGTGTATGTGTGGAGTGTGTAGAGGGAGAAGTTGTATCCTGGGATATTGCATATCAAAAGTGAGATGGAAGAGATCAAGAAAGCACACAACGGAAATAGACTATAGGTGACTGAAATCCTAGCAAATAGATGCAAGGTCTACATGCAAATAGACCTTAAAATAACTATGATTATGTCGAAGAAAATAAAGAAAGAAATCAGACAAAATAGATGATGGAAAGGATCTTTAAAAGTGTTACTATTTTCTTCTCTTACTTTTCCATACCACCACATCCCTACTTCATCACCATCTTTATATGCACTATATATAAGTATATATATAGTATATATATATATATATATATATATAATAAACAGCCACAGGGTATATATGTGTATGTATGTATGCATGTAATATATTGGGTCAAGTATGATGTGTGACTGGAATATAGATATTGGAAATTAATATTAAATAAAAGAACTTGTGTTTGCTCACCTTCTGACTACCAGGTGACCTGAAAGTGGTATAGCCTATAAATTTATTGGTATTCACTAAGTCTGACATTGTCAAAACACAGAATGTGTTTGGTCTATGTTAATGCCATAGCTTGCTCATGGCAGATTTTTTCTCTTCCTCCTCCTCCTCTCCTCTTCCTCCTCCTCCTCCTCCTCTTCCTCCTCCTTCTCCTCCTCCTTCTTCTTCCTTCCCTCCCTGGGAATTGAACCCAGGGACACTTTACTGAGTTATATCCCCAGTCCTTTCTATTTTTAAATTTTGAAAATGGGTCTTGCTGAGTTGCTGAGGCTGACCTGAAACTTGCCATCCTCCTGCCTCAGACTCCTTTGTTGCTTGGATTACAGGTGTACACCATCACACCCAGCTAAAAGTGTGGGTTTCTCCTTGTTTCTCATTTCCCTTAGGGAATATTTTCTAGTAAAATTAATCATTGCTTACCAAGTCTGCTTATGGGTTCCTGCTCAAAG